ACTGTGCCACACTGGGTCAGGAGCTTTGGGCTTGGAGTGGTGACTGTACCACACTGGGTCAGGATGTAGGAGTGTTTCTCTGGGACATTGCTCGAAGTGGTTCCATTGGGAGCACCCTGTTACAGGAGAAGGGCTGCAGGAGGGGTTGGTGTGCAGCTGGAGCGAGGCCAGGCTGTGTCCTGCCTGCAGTTCTCATCCCTGTCACCTTTTGCTCCCCCTCCTGTTGGATCTGTTGTCTCACTCACTGCAGATTAAAATGACACAAACAGAACGATGTTAAGCTGATTGACTTGCAAATTAACGTGTCCTGGTACCAGCAGTGGCAGGTTCAGCCCCTTGCTGCTGCCTGGGACGTGGGCTTTACATCCCTGTCCATCTCCTGGGGTTCCTGCTCCGTGGCATTATTGTCACTCTGTGGTTGTGCCCTCCCTGCTGAACTGAGGGGATGATTTTAATACAACACCATTGCAGTGGTGTTGTTTGGACAGCCCTGAGGTCACTCTGCTTCCCCTTTTCATACCTGTAGATGAGAGCACATGCTGTAGAGGGAAGAACAGGAGCAAAGCACAGGGATACAGTTCAAGGAAAATGGGAGAATTCCCATGTTGGGTCATCTGCAGGTCGGAGACTGAGGGCAGTTGATGCTCCTCTGGTTTCCTTTTGACATCTTGAGTATCAAATTCTTCTGGAGCTGGTTTCTGAATGGAGAACTGAGGTGTTGAACCCTGGGTGTCCCACACCCTCTGCCCATTCCGTGTCAGGCTGTGCTGCTCTGGCCCTCCCCAAATCCAGGTGGTTTCATTGACTGGCTCTTCTGCTCACTCCTTTGACAGTGTGGTCGTTAAGGAAAAGCTGGAGGCTAAATTGTCAAAGTATTGGAAAGGTGAGAACTGCAAAGCTCGTTTGTAGTGTGGCTTTTTCTGGTGTGAAAAGCGTAGAGGGTCCAGAACTGGGCCTGGAAGAATAGTTGCCACGCTGGACTCCTGCCCACCACAGCTTTGAGCTGATTTCTGCTTGGCTCTGTGCTTGTTTCCTCCAGCTCTTTCCCCACTGAGTATTTTCCCCCTCTCCCAACGCTTGCTTCAGCCCTGTGCAGTGAGGGATTGATCTGATTTAGTGCAATAGAATCGCTCTGGGTTTCTGGGTGCAATTGCTCTCAGATCTGAAAACCCTCAGCAGTCAGTTGTGCTGCTGCTCAGTCAGAGCTGGAGTCCGTGTTCTCCTGACAAATTAATGGAGTTCTCCTGACAAATTAATGTTGTTCTCCTGACAAATTAATGTTGTTCTCCTGACTAGTGGCTCCTCAGCCCCCCAAGGACAAGGGTGTCCCTTGTCCACAGCGAGAGCTCCACGCCTTGGCCAGGAGGTGCCATTGTGGGGCTCCTTGTGGCCCTAAATCCGGCTCTTCCAGCGAGGTGCTGCTCAGCCTCACCAAAACAGCCTGTTTGAAGTGCTATCAGATCACAAATCCGTTCACATTTCCCTCTGTAGGTCCCTTTTCTCTGTGCTGCTTCCGTGCTGTGCCTCCCCGACGGGAGGGAGCGAGTGGTTGGCACCGTGATGCCTCTGGAAAACAAACTCCCTGTGCTGGGAAGGCACTGGGGGAGGCCAGGAGTGGTGGGGTGGGCTGGGCCTGGGTGAGAGGAGGCTGCAGGAGCTCGTCCCAGAACGAGGAGCCAAAGTCTCACCTCTGCCACAGAGCACCAAGCTGGAGGAATTCTCTCCTTTGCCAGGACTCCTGGATTCATTAACGGGTCAGACACGGTTCAGTCCCAGCAGGGCAGGGAAAGGGAAAGGCCAGAGCAGGTGTCTCACTCTGGGGGTTCTGCTGTAATGCAAGAGCTGCTTGAGAAGTGCCCCAAGTTTGCTTTGGGCTTCCAACTGGGAACAGGCAATCCTCAGCTTCCCAACACGGGATTGCCTTTTCCTTCCTAACCCAACATTGCCTTTTGGGACTGGGACAGTGGGGACACATCCCAACACCTCCTGCAGGGACTGGGACAGTGGGGACA